CTTGCTCCGCAGACAACCACGTTCAGTTTCACCTTGCACAACGAAAAACAGCGCGCTTCAGTGGACAGTCGGATATTCAATATGTTGTTCGGATCCACACAGGCGCCTTCTTGGGGTTTTTCCGGTTTCCCTGTGTTCTCAGCGGTCTTTCGAGTTTTTCTCTTTGAAACCGTTTTCCGACAGCATGACTGTTTTAACGCCACCATTGCTCCCCCAATTGACTGTCCTGCACCTGTTTTCCCATTTTCAGCTTGCTCAAATCAACAACCGGTGCTCCACGCCCACGATCCAGTGATATTTCGCCCAGCCACCATGGACGCGCAGTGGCAGCAATACTACTGGAATCATTATTTGATGCAGCAACATCATCAGCAGCTCACCAACCCAGATACCACAACTTCTCCTCCCACCACCGCACACCACACCTACAGCCCCACAGGCACCTACGGCCCACTCACTCACGCACTTCGCACACACCACGTCCACCACTCCAACCCTTATGTGACTCCACCGTACACACCGCCATCGCAGCACACACCCCCACCCCAGGCACCCACCTCCCAGCCGGAGTTTCCACCTCCGCCGCCGCCACCCCTGCCCACGGCCGAACCTGTCACTCCACCACCATCGACCTTCCAACACAGCCCACCGCCACCACCCACCACACGTGGCACCACAGCGCCTGCCCCACCGCCCCCACACATCCCATCTCCCACACCACCTGTTCCCGACTCCTGGAACCCAACCGAGCAACATTGGGACTCCAACACCCTGCACGGCCACCAACTACATCGTACAATTCAACCCACCCAGTGGTCTCGCAAAGCAGGAGTGGCCGGCCTCCCCACCTTTGAGGTCTTCCCGTGGCAATTGGCTTACCACGGTACCTCCGAGTTCACCGCCCGTACCCTGAGCCACGGCAAATTCACAGGTTTCATTGCCACCAGAAGCATAGCGGAGTCGGTCTTCGTGACCCTTTTTCTCCAACAACTCCGCGAGCACCGCCTTGACCTTGACGGCATAGCGGAGGCTCTCCACACACAACAGAGCACAGACGTTCCAAACAAAACTACCCATGCCCGAGCGTTCCACGCTCCCCTCATCAAACTGCTTATCGACCAACTGCAAACCCACCCCCCAGCACCTGCGGAAGGCTCCGCCCTACGCGCCCTCAAAAACACCAACGACGAACTGGCTCGGGCACGTCAGAAACTCCACGACCTCGGCAACCCGCTCACACCAGTCAAGAACACCGGCCGATCTTCTACACCAGCCGCCCCTTCCCACGCACCCACACCACCACCACCGAAACCACCAGCCATCACCGACGTCTTGCAACCACCACACCCCACCCTGCAAGACGACATCCCCGAAGGCTGGAACTACCCAGATATCCAACAATGGGTCACTACCTTTGACCCCGCCATCCAAGAAGCTGCGAAGGAAGTCATCCGACTGCTGCAAACAAGCAAAGTCACCACGCAGCAGCTAAAAGAAGCAGCCACCAAGTATGGCCTACCCCTCAACCGAGTCAACCGACTCCCCATTCGCAGCCTACAACAGCTGGTGGGAGTCGGAGCAGCCATTGGTTGCTGACTCGCCATCGTGGCCCAGCAGCAACCCAGCCACACCAACCTCACCCAACTCTTCCACCTGCACCGCGCACTTTCCATGCTCATCCACCGCACCCAATACATCGACCGCGCCGAGGCCATCTTTGCAACCGGCCTCATCCACATCACACTTCTTTTCGCATACCCGTCCAACACCCGTCGCTCACAACAATGGCGCAACCGCCTCCGCCAGCTCCACATTTTACCCCACACCTACCACTACCACAACTTCCTCTCTTCCAATTCCGTCTACATCAAGCTCCACTTCAATCCCGACCAACCCCAACGCTGCTACCATCAACATGGCCACTTCTACGTTGGCTCCACAGCTATCGGCATCCCCCACCGCGAGCACAATCGCCGCGCCAAACTCAAACAACTCCAGAACAACATTCCCATTTCTGCAGAACTCTCCCTGCGTTATTGGCATTCACACAACAACATCCACCACTACACCACTATTCAACTCACCTCCCATGACACATACGACCAAGCCTGGATCCAAGAGCACCACTACATCGCCAACTGGATGCCTTCACTCAACTGGCCTTTCATTTCCCACCACCTCAAACTCAAAGCTCAGGGATGGCAGTTTGCGAAACACAGAGCCCACTTCTACTCCAGACTAGCCACCCACAAACGACTTTTCCGACGCCTTCGACAACGCCAGTACACCCTCAGAGAACCACACCTCTACACTTCCACTAAGCATCACGCCCTCTAACTTCTTCGCAACCTTACCAAACACACCGCAGCCTCTTTTGAGGCAGCAAAACAGATAAGAAGCGGCCGCCACACGGACCTCGAGGTGTATGCAATCCGGCGTATGGCCGCAAATTTGGAAGAACCTGGCCGCAGCCGAGCTCTTCACATCCTCAACAAAGCCCTGATCTACCGCAACCTCACGCCACCAAAGCCAAACATCCCATTGACAGTGCCCTTCTTGGCCCACGACGACTCGACCAAGCACTGCCAACAATGGCTTCGTACCACCATCCAGCAGCACAAGCATTTCACCATCCCCCTCCACCTCCCCTCCCACAGACTGAGGGAAGCCGCCCACAAAACCCTCCGCTCCCACCTGCACAACCACCGCACATGGGAGGACACCCTTCACTCCCCCCCAGATCCAGCAGACCTCCCCTGTGCATGCGACCACCTTCGCACCCTCCTGCAGGATCCCGATACCCCTACCATCAATGGCCACTACATCCTTACACTTGACCAACTCCAACTCCCTACACACCTCAGCATTTTCCTCAACGCCAATATGAACAGCACCTTTTACCCAAGCAAAGCTCGGTACTTCCTCATTTTCACGACGGCCTATACCAAATGGCTCAAACTACAGGGGCTTCCACCATCCCTAGTTCAACACCTACAGCCTTTCCTTGAGCACCAATGGCGCCTTCACAACACACACCTCAAGCAGCAACCCCGTTTTACGGCCCGCCTGCTTCGTCAACTCCAAGAACATTTGGGCAAACACACCTTACTCCACCATGCCGACCATGAGCTCCAACAACTCCGGCTGTTTTGCCCTCGCCAATATTTCACTGGCGCCTTGAACACCTGGCAATCCCCCGAACTTTTCGAACCACTTCCCTACATCACTGCCGCCAATATCCACGATCACCTGGCCGCCACTGTCCCCCCCATTTTGCGCACTCGCTACAAGTGGGGCTTCCGAAAAGACTTCAACATTCCATACGGCGTTGTCCACCTCAAGGAGAAGAAGCACTGGCAAAAAGGCCGTACAATTATTTCATACTTCCAATCACTCAGTGGCAACTTGCTTCGCATCACCAGCCGTGCCCTTGACATCATCCTCCAACACCTCTACCCTCAACATCCCGGCCAAATGTCCATTCCCCAGCTTTGGCACCACTTTCACAGCTACCTCACCCAAACACCACCAGACATCTCACTACACGCCACCAACGATGACCTGGTCGGCTTCTTCAACTCAGTCCCACAGCACCGACTCATCGATGCAGTTCACTCCCTCGTCCACCACTGGCAACAACAGCAACCCACACACACCTTGACGGTGGATGTCCAGGCCACCGGCAATCCTTTCCACCACTCACACATTGGCAGACACCATCGGAAACACCCTACCCAACGCACCATCCAAACTTCCGACATTACCACCATCGTGGCTTTTGCCCTCAACACGTGCATTTTCCGGGCTTGCAACAATACTTACAAACAAATCCGAGGGGCCGGGATTGGATCCCAGCTCTCTCCAGCCCTATGCAATGTTGCCATCACCCTCATTGAGCACTCCTGGCATCAGATCCACAACAACCTCCTTCAACACACAGACCTCCACTTTACTTACTATCGATATGTCGACAACCGCTTCATTGTCCACAACGAACATTTCCTTCAACACCCGGCTATCCAAACCCTCATCCACCACAATTTCTTTGGCGACCCAGTTGAACTCGAACCGGTGGAGGATTTTCATCTCCTCGGTTTCAACATCAACCTCCCACAACGCACCATCACCTACATGCAACCTTCCCAACCCTGGAAAATCCGGGGTTCCACAACCGCCGGGAGCCAGCGCTTGGCTCTATCAGGCCTCCAATCAAGACTCCACACCATTCGAAAATACACATTCCCACCCTCCAGCGCTGACGTTGCTGCGGCTGAACTCGTCAACCTATATGTCCAAAAGGGGCATAACTACCACGCCTGCCACCGGTTTTTGAAAAAAGCGCCGAATGCGGCGACCTGTGTGTGTCCCACCCTGGACAAAGGGTCTTACCCCACCACTTTTCCACAGGCAGGGGGGCAGTGGACCACTATCACTCACTGCCCACCGAAGACAGTGATAGATCGGTCGTGAAGCAATGCGGGACGCCGCATTGTGTACCTGCTGAGTTTTTCCACAAGCTGTCACCCTACTTTTCCAAGATTTGATTCATGGTGGTTCCACATGATACTTTCCCCACAAACAGGTTTCCCACTGCACTGCAGCTGCTGACCGCCGCCTCCATTTGCGCTTGTCGTGAAACCTGTGTTAAACAATACATTTTAAGCTGACCTTTCCACCTTGCCGTTCCATCGCCTTCTTTCCCATTGAGACAATTGCGTTAACTGAAAAATCCAAGTTCGAAGTGTATGTATACATACATACATACATACATACATATATATATGTGATGTGTGTATGTGTGTGTGTGCGCGTGTGTGTGTGCACCCAAATGCAACTGAAACAAGCTCTTGGGATCTGTCGGTTTCCAACAAGAGTACTGGGTGACCTAACCGAACCCCAGTGTGCTGCTTTTGGCACCCTGGAGATGTTTTGACCCACCAAATGATGCGACCCGTTGGGTTCCTCCCTCCCAAGACATTCAACGACCAACGTCTCCGCGCCTGAGGACAAGTTTCGTTGAAGCTTCTGAAATAGCCTGCATGAGCAGATGCAATGACCCTCGGAGGAAAAGCATCGCGCGCAACACTTCGTCACCCAAAAAAGGCACTGCGACGAACTTCGGATGGTTGCAAAAACAAAGAAAGGCACTGACTGCTACAAAACTGTCACAAAAGGCACTGCTACGGTACACTGTTTCTTTAGACCAAACAAGAAGATCCCCGTTCTCCTGTAGGTGGAGCGAAACATGGACGTCGCTTCCCGCATCTCCCGCAGGTTGTCGGGCGTCGGGACCGTCAAGCGGTTGCAGTCCTGCGAAGGCGGTCGTTCGACGGTGTCTGGATTGCGAAGACGAGTCCTTGAGAGATATGGAAGTCCTAAGTAATAGTTCAGGTTTAGAAGTTCATTCTCATGCAGTTATGAGCTCTGACTCGAAACCAGTTTCTTGGCAACGGGTCTGCCACCAAAGGGCAGAGGACATGAATCCCCCGAGACGCCGAGACGAATCCGATGGCTCCCATGGCGCCAGAGGGGTGGCAGCGATGCTCCGCAAAAGGAGGCTGTGGACTATGGACTTGATTTGGCTGCGAGTTGCATGAAATCCGATGGGATTCTGGGCGAAGCACCACAGATCTACTGCCCAGACGGGGGGCAGCAGGAGAACAAAGATCCAACTGTGAATCCACAAGCTTGCTCTGCCCTTGTGTTAGACAACAACTGAAATCCATCAACATCAAGAGAAAAACAGAGACCCATGACCACAACTGGTGCAGATTGAAGTAGCTTTAGACCCTTCGAAAACTGCGGCTGTCCAGCAGGAACTCCACTCCGATGGCATGCGCCGCCACGGACGCGTGCAGCGAAAGCCAAATGGCGAAGAGCAAATACCCCACAGCTGCGATGTTGCCTGGCTGAGTATGAAGAAGCTTACTTGCTCAGCTTGGTGTCTGGTTTCTTCTTCAAATAATAGCCTGTGCTCCTTGCTGTGGGGTCGTGTGTTGGGGTAAATTTCCATGAACTTGAAGGGGAGAGTTTTCCAGGTTTGAGGGCAGCAGAGTGGCTGAGCAAGAAGATCTCCATGATCAGTTTCGGCTCATTGACATAGTCCTCAACCCGTCGAAGGAGCAAATCAATCATGGTCCATTCAGCTTTGTTTCTGGTCTCTGCTTTTGGATTCGCTTGACTACCCACACGCGTCCCTAGTTGTGACATGCTGAGCTCCAAGAATTCTCGGCAACGACCTTCCACAAAATGGACACTCAGGAAAAGCTTGTTCGGCAAACATTGGTCAATTTTTTGTTTTATATTTTTCCTTTTAAAGAGGATCAATCCCTTTTATATTTTGAAAAAATATACGTTCTTTCTATTTCCCCTTTAGACATGATTAATTACTTGCATTTTTCTTTGCAAATAAATTAACAAAAGTGTCATGTTCAAAAAATGAAAGGAATTAGATTTGTTCAAACAGAAAATGCAAGGAATTATATCAACTTATCATTTCTAAAGGAAATTAAAGGGCATTGTTTATCCTTTATTATCCACCTGTATGTTCCTTTAAATCTTTTCTTATAACCCATTACTATTTGAACATTACTAATTATTTTCATTTTTCCTTTGCGCATAAATGAACAGAAGTGATATGCTTTTTAAAAAATGAAAGGAATTATAGTTGTTCAAATAGAAAATGCAAGGAATTATGCCAATTTATCCTGTTTAAAGGAAATTGGCAGGAATTGTTTATCCTGTTTAATTCACTTGTAGTTTCCTTTCAAATGGTTAAAATTCATTATGTTTGAATGCTTAATTCGGTCTATGTTTGTTTTAAATATTATATATATTTTGTTTTCTTTTCAAGATGATCAATTCCTTTTATGTTTGGAAAAATATAGTTTTTTCTACTTTCTTGTTAAACATGATTAATTCTTTTCATTTTCCTTTACAAATAAATGAATAGAAGTGTCACGTTTAAAAAATGAAAAGAATTATATTTGTTCAGATAGAGAATACAAAGAATTATATCAATCTATCTTGTTTAAAGGAAATTAAAAGGAATTGTTGATCCTTTATTATTAATCCATTACTATTTAAACGTGATTCATTCGGTTCATGTTCTTTTTCTAAATAAGTATTTACTCTTATCTCCTTTCAAAGAGGATCAATGCCTTTCATGATCCTAAAAAAAGGAGTTTCTTTCTATTTTTCCTTTAAAAATGATGAATGTTTTTCATCTTCTTTTGCAACGTAATGAACAGTTGAACAGAAGTGATATGTTTTAAAAAGGATAATGAACATTAAAGGAACTCATCATTGTTCAAAGGGAAGACGCAAGGAATTATATCAATTTAGCATGCTTAAAGGAAATTGAAAGGATTTGTTAATCCTTTATTCATTGTTTCCTTTTCATCTTCTATTCCTGGAATATTATCGTTATCATTCTTTTTTTCTTAGTTCCATATCCAATTCTATTTGATGGTTTCTTTCTCGTTTCCCTTTAGACATGATTAATGCCTTTCATCTTCTGATGCAAAATAATGAACAGAAGTGTTATGCTTTGAAAGACAAATGAATAGAATTAATCATTGTTCAAAGGGAAAATGCCAGGAATAACAATATCAATTCTCGGGGTCCACGGCCATGTGTGGATACAAAGTACTACACAACTAGCAGAGCAGATTGCCTTGAGCTCACAAAATCTACCACACAGTATTATTTTGCAAAGTCATAGAAGCATTTGGACAGATTCCTGCATTTCAATGAAAAAGAAAAAACCAAAAAACAAACACAAGATTATAATGCCTGTGAAACCAAGAAAACCAAAAAAACAAAAAAATAGACCAATGTTTGTCTGAGGAATAGATACTTTAAATATTGCAAATTTGTGCAAAAAAGCGCACTCCCGTGGTGGCCTGTTCTGAAAAAATAAGGGTTGTGAATACACTCTAAACACATATTTTAGATAAATTTCACATATGTTTGTAAATTGCGAAATCAAAAAATAGATAGATTGCATCCTCAGCCCCCACCGCAGCCTTAACCTTTGGAGATGAAGATGAATCATATGAAGAAAATATTAAGCCTAAATTAAGTAATATATAGTATAGTCTCCATACGCAATAAAGTAGGCTCAGTGCGTACATTTACTAATCACAGACTGCCAAAACCAAAAAACAAAAACCAAAACTCTGAGGAGAATCTGTGGTTTCCGCCTGAAAGATTGTTTTTGGTGTTCATTGAGTTTTTTTGGCTTTGTTGGTTTCATTCATCAAAAAAACAAGCGTTTTTTGGTTTTTGCTTTGGTCTACAATCACCAATGCCCAAAAACAAAAGGTTTTTTGCTTTTAAAAAAAAATGCAAAAACAAAAAACGTGTGTTTTCTTGGTTTTTGGTGATTCCAGGTTGCATAGACCAAAGCAAAAAACAAAACTTGTGATTTTTGTTTTTGATGAATGAAGCCAAAAAACAAAAAACTCGATGAACACCAAAATAACATCTTTCAGGCTGAAACCAAAGATTCTCCTCAGAGTTTTGGTTTTGATGACAACCAGCGCAAGCACGGTCACCAAGAGCTCCGCTACCATGAAAAGAGGTATGGACGCTCAAAACCCGGCGGAGCGCGCTTTGTTTCCCTTTGAGCCAAAAGTCAGGGGTTCAGACGATATGTACATATCCTACATCCAAACATTAATCAATACAAGCTATAATTACATATTTGGTAGTTTATACATAATCCGATCAGATTTTCCTTTTTCTATATCTTCAATTTTCTTCACCAGTTGTTTGATTGCTTTCATTTGAAGGGTGTCAATCTTATTCAGATCCAGATCGTTTTCCTGAAAACTTCCCAATCAAGTGGTGCAAGGTGGGTTTTTTTGGGGGGGCTAGGATAGATAGATAGATAGATAGATCGATAGATCGATAGATCGATAGATCAGATCAGATCAGATCAGATCAGATCAGATTAGATAGATAGATAGATATGGAATGCCATGATTTGATAGGAAGACGAGTGATTCTCCTGCTCGAGCATTTTGAACTCGCCGTAGAAGCCAACGCAAAACTCCAAAAGGAGCGCTCCAATAAGATGGTACATGTCCTCAGACACACCGCGCAGACTCGTACGCGCAGCTCCGCGCATGTACACACAGGCCAACCAAGCAAAACCGGCCAACCGTCCAACCTCTTTTGACTTCGTTGATATAGTTTGTATAGCCTTCAATCGAAATAGAATAGACTCCAACCAATCCCGCCAAACCAGTGTTATTCCGGTCGCCCCTGGTTTTGGTCGCCTAGGTTCTGACGCACACCTTGACCGCTATCAGCATACAGTAATTTTGGATGCTTCGACACCCACATGTGTCGACACTGGTTGGACCGGTTCGATGCCGAAAACCGGAGGCAGGTGAAAAAGCGTCACGTGGCCACAGCATACAAATTTAATCTCATAGGAGAAAACGGCTGTGCCTCTAAGACTTCACTGTCAATCACACTTTCAAGAGACGCGATGCCACGGTCGAATATGTGATTCCAACCAAGGGTCAAGCGACCCCAAAAAGGAATCCGTGACATCCATCCACCAATCACCGCCAAAAGAGATAAGAGCACCATTGCCCGCAATAAAAAAACATATAAATAAATTGATTGATAAATAGATCACCACCCCAAAAAGAAACATCACATATCTCTCTGATCGATGTGCCCAGTGCGGGCAGTGCCGAAAAACGAGGGGCCATTCGATCCACGACCAGCTCCATGAGACTTTTGATGTCTTCACCTCACCGTGAAGAGGCGGCGAGACCGCTCGGAAGATGCCGTGGCTGAATCGGCGTTCGACGACTGGGCCGACTGGAAGACTGGGATAAAGAGTTCCCACTCCAAAGATCTCCAAAGATAGTTGTCTGAAACTGGAACCACTCACCGAACTGGGTGCAGTTTCATGGTCAAAAGCCTCTGCATGCCAGTTCTCTTCCCCAGAGTACATCAAATCAAAGATCTTCCGAAGCGACGACATGAAGGGCGCAACATCCACCAATCCAAGCGACGCTTCAGCTTCTGTGCTTCGATGGCAAACTCATAGCTCTTCATGAAGCGGTCAAACTCCTGCGGAAAGCGGACTGAAAACCCACACGCTTTGGCTCGTTGGAGATGAAGGAGAGATGGGAGAGATGGGAGAGCGTGAAGCCCAGGGGTTCGCATCAGATTCCAAAAAAAGGCCAGGTAGGAGCCCCAGCTACGAACGGAACAAGGACGCTACGATCCGGGCTCCTGGCAGCGCTACGAACGGAGCATTCTTACGACCAGTCTCTGGGCGTCAAGGGTCGAAGGCATAGTGAGATACACCCCCGAACCGGCAGGATTCTGGACCTCTGCTCGGAGCCATGTCTGGCATAGTCTCTGCTCGAGCCTTCTGAAGCGCACCGAAGGGATCAGTTTCGAAACGGGGCGCTTCAGAGCTTCATGTCTCATGTCTTTCGCTTCGGGATCTTCACCTCGAGCTTTCTGTCCAAACGATATGCGACTTGAACACAACCGTCGGAGAGAAGCTCTGTCATGTCGCGTTTTCTCCTTTTCTAAGAGTAATTGAAGAAACCGTCTCCCCACACCAGCAAACAGTCGAACTCACCATCAATGCATGTTTTTTCTTAAACCCACAATAGAATTTCTCAACCGTGTGCCCCATCTCCTAAAGACCGATCCTTGCGAGCTCTAGACACGATTTGGGATTGTTTCTAAACCAACAGCAACTTAAACTGAGATCAGACCTGTCAAAGAAATATTCACTCAAATCAATGATATTGACCTGCTTTGTAACTTGGGTCCAATTTAGGAATGAAATATCATGAAATATCTAGAGGTCTTTCGGTCAGGTCCCTTTGACTCATTTTCCACCATTTCACACCTTCCCATCCGTCGGGGAAAACCCACCGAAACACTCGGCCTTCTCTGCGTTGATGAGGGGCCCCTCCCCGACAATGTGGGAAAGGCTGTCCATGGCCAGGGCACTCATCGCGGCGATGACCATGGCGAGTCAGAAAACGGGTCTCAAAGCGCAAAGATCTCGAGACGACAGGGTAACCCCGCTCCCCGGCAGGGCAAAACGCACACACACACCTGCCTTTGCGTGAGATGTACAAGTGAAGGGCTTCAAGAATTCATCTTGACTCCCATGTCATGATCCGCTTGGAGGAAAGGAAAACGAGCTTGAAAATGGTGGTTCTTCTCTCTTTTCAACCACCTCGGGGTGTGCTTATCGAGCTGCGACAATTGGCACAAAGTAATCTCGGCAAATTGTTCCAGGCAGGGAAAAGGCATGAAAATACGTGAAATGTTGCAGTGGGACACTCTTTTATCAAGCTGAGCCAGCTAAAGTGGCAAGTATGCATCAAAGAATCTCACTCCAATCTCAGGTCACACGAAACTAGTCTGAATGAGAAGCTCTGATGACTCTGCAATTTGAGTTCCTGTGTGCAAGAATTCCAAATTACCAGCTGCCTCCAAGATTGATCCTCCAAGCTACTATAACTCCCTCGAACCAAGTCTACTCCTTCCACCATGCCCAGGACCCAGCTCCTTCCACCACGACATGTTGCACACCAAACACACCAGCTTCTTCTCCCCTCATGGTACTTTGCCATGCACAGGCCCGGTGATAAAGTAGGGATATCCACTGGTGAACTTGAAGCAAAGCGCCACCAGCGTCCCTGGGAGACTGTTGGCAAGAAGTACTGCGCGACCAGTGAGAACGAAAGTGTACAATGAAAATTGGGGTTCACACCAACCACAAGGGCATCAACCACTTGAAAATGAAACAAAAATACCGAATTGTTTCATTTTGTTTCACTACAAAAATACAGATCTGGATGACCATCGTTCAACATCTTGACAACACTGTTGGCCTTTACTTGTCTCTTCTCTTCACTCCTGACAAGCAGCCCAGTAGGAAGAAGCTCAGCACCGGCAAGAGCAGTCGAAGCCACCAGGCCCACCCTCGGATTTTCGCCTCCAAAACACGTGGCCACGGTCAACCCTATATGAATGAATCGGTGTTTCAAACTGCTTCAACCTGCTGACGGTTTCGGACTGCTGATGGCAATGCATCTGCCGCATGCTTTCTGATCCAGAGTCCATCCGCATGTTCATCCTATCGCATGAACTGCACGAGTCAGCTACACCTCAAAATGCCACAACATTAGGCAGACTTCCAAAGATTCACCCTCAACTCTCAACACACCTTTTGTCGGGCCTCGCTGAAGGCCAGGAGCATGACGGCAAGCGGCAGGCAGTCAGTGGTCCATGCAAGGGACAGTCTGGCCACCTGAACAAGAATCAAAGGCGACCAAGCAAAACCTGCTCGCACTGGTTGGTTGAGAAAGAAGAGACCAGGAACTGTAATTAATATGGTGCAGTAATACTCCATGTATGCTGGAAAAGTTGCTAAATTGAAGACAGTAAGTTATCATCAATCTTCAAACTGGTCCTGGGAGGCAAGCCTCCGGGAAGCTGACAACACGCGGGTCCGATGAATCAAATACACTGGCTTTGGAGCAACCAAGAGAGCGATGCCAACTCTGAACTCCTCGGCATCCGACACACCACGGGCACTTCGGGCCAGAGGCATTGTGGACATTGCCTCAAGTGAGGAGGCGACGTTTGACAATTCTCGAAAAGCCCCGTTAAGAGTGACTTCGTTTGTTTCGTGGACAAAATGATTTCAATCCGAGTCACAGTTGTCCCATCCACCGGACCACTCCCAGGTGCAGCCACAACCTGCAGCGTGCGGTGTCGACTGTCTTCCACCCGGTCAAAAGCTTCAACGGGGATCGGGGGAACACCCAGATCGTGCGGAACCCCTGTCGAGCACCCGGTCGACACACCGGTCTCGACGCACCCGGTCGAGAGTCGAGAGGTCAATTGCTGCGAACAGAGTGAGCGGCAGTCGGACTGTGCGTGCGACAGTCGGACAGATGAGAGTTTCTTGTGTTCCCTTTCTGAGGCTCAGTATACAGAACTCCAGTGCAATTACGGCTACTACAAAAGCTCAAAGCTGTGCTGTTACCCCGGTCAAAGTGTCCAAGTCATCTGCGAAAGAGCCAGCTGCAGAACTTGTTGTGGACGACCTACCAGGTTCTCAGAGCGCAAGACAGTAAATAACAGGGCAGTGTGGCGGCGTGTTGATTGGATCCATGAATCCATATGAATCCATACATGCACGTGAATCACCTGGAAAAGAAGAGAACCGTCCACGTACAATGCTTTTGGGCGAATGTTCACAAAAGCAGCTGAAACTTTTTTTGTAGGCTCCCCTGGTCGGAGGTTCGACAGGAAAACAGGAGAAACCTCCCACAAGTCGTTAGACTTGACCGACTCGACCTTCATTCCATCTGGTCAAACTAATGACACCCAAACAAAATACAGCAAGGTTCTCCTGTTCATTGGTCCTTTGAGGGAAGGTCATAGTATTTCGACCAGATTCTTGTGAAACTTGGCACTGCGTTTCTTCAACATCTGAAATAGCTTTACGGAAATTAGAAAAAACACTGCACCTGCCGCAACGAGCTGGCTAGTCATACTTTCCGTTGAAAAATCCAAGCTTAACGGCACATCTAGAGCACGGACCTCACTACTAGCTTGGTGCTCCGTGGGGAGCACCTCAAGAGTCTGATTGAGCAAAATGCGGACAGCTTTCAACGAGGAGCCACTGGAATAGTTCACTCGGTGTCCACAAAGAAAGTCCTTGGACAGCAACTCAGCCTCGTAGACTTCCCTCACCCGGCTTCCGTGGCATGCCAAATCTTGGAAGCTGATTCGAGTGAGAAAAGGCACCAATTCTAGCATGGTTGGGTGCACAATTTCGTGAAACACCCCATGCGTCTTGAACACACGCGCACAGGCAGTGAAGACTTGAAAAGCTTCACGTGGGACATAGATGAGATCTGAGCTGCCTTGCATCATGCCTTCACGCAACTTCTTGAAAACACGAGCACGCCGAGTCGTCCACTCCCTCGAGCCGGAGAAAAGCACGGATTCCAGGTCATTGACCACGTTCACAACCTGGTCCTGGGTGGTCTTCCCTTGCCAATGAAACCAGTCGCAGTTCAAGCTCGGAAAAAGCCTGCATGTTTCATAGTAGCAGAAAGGGGCATAGGTCTTGGTCGAATCGGAGAAGCTTGCCAACATGTCCGTCTTCAACATACTTGCCAGCCCGCATGGCGAAATGACCACATCGAACTGCATATACATGATTCCCCGAGCCTTTGTGCTGTTCATTTGGGATGCAATGCACCAGTGAGGATCACCAGCGCCAGAACATGGAACAACACGTCTCTTTGATTCGCTAACATCTTTCGAAAGAAAGATCACTTCTCTAAAGTACTTGGAGTAAAGGTCCAGCATCGGATGTCGCATTTCACAAATTGTGCTGTTTTGTCGGCAGTGAATGAGCAAAGTCACATTGGCAAGCACAGATGCGCTGCATCCCGTCACCACCACAGATGCCATATCAGGCTTCACATCGTTAAAATGCAAAAATCGAGCCTGCTGGAATGGCAACAGCGAGATGGAGCTGACGATGCATCGATGAATAAATGAATCCAGCAATACAGCTTACAAAACTGGGTGGGCCAGTGTCAAGTTGGCCTGCTGAAAGCCCTCGCATAGAAAGGCAGCCGCGATTAAAACAGCAGCGGCAGAGACCGCTTCCTGGCGCTGAGCCGCGAGCCACCGGGAGGCCAAACCGTTCTTACCCTGTCGAAATCATGTTTTGGACTGGCGGACATACATCGTGTGGACAATCGACACAACCCAAAAACTAACCATACCACTCATCGGTTGCGCATGCCGTGGGCTCTTCATGTCGACCTCTTCACGCCTGCCGCGGCCCACAAGCAACGAGCCGCCCACCGTTGAAACAGCCGCCCACCGGGGCCTTCCGCAGTCGAACAGCTAAGTACGTGGCCAGCGCAGCACCTGTGGATTTGGGTGCCCATCAAGGAGGGCTGCAGAAATCTGGGTGACTCCACTTGTTTTGTGAACGCAAAACTACCAGGAGTCAACACGTTCGAACCACATCATCATCTCTCTAGCTCTGCAGTCAATTTGTTCACTTTCTCTCCTCCCTCCCTCCCTCCCTCCCTCGCTCGCTCTCTCTCTCTCTCTCTCTCTCTCTCTCTCGCTCTCGCTCTCACTCTCACTCTCGCTCTCTCTCTCTCTCTCACTTCGTCCCCTTCCATCCATCCATCTGCCCACCCATTCATCCAGCTAGCAACCCATCGACCTACTTCCAAGCAACACAAAGTCCTCGAAAAAACTAACAGCTTAAGAGACACCCTACTTTTAAGCTATATACAAGCCCTTCCAACAACTGAAGAAAGGGCGCCCCCAGAACAGTTCCACCTTCCGATCCACGAATTTCCTCCCCTTTCATTCATCCATCCACCCACCCGTCTATCCAGCTAGGAAACCAACGATCTACCCAGAAGCGCACTCAGAATGCAAAGGATGCAAGCCATCAAGTCTGTCGCATCATCAAAAAATCATGACGAGCTTTGTGACCTAGATAAGGTTTCTGATCCAAAGGTTGGTTATAATACCGATCTCGGATTTCAATCTCTGCGCCGAGGCACCCTTTTTGTTGGGCAGCTCTGGCTGTTGGGAAACCTCTGCCCACCCACCCATTCTACTTGCCACCACAACCTGCATACATCTATGCTTCGTCTTCTCTATATCTCTATCATCTTCTCTCCTCAACTCATCTTTCTGTCACGCAACCTCCCTCTGGCTATACACACATCCATCTATCCACATCTACTTCATCTCTCTATCTCTGCAGCTTATCCTCCTCTCTCTCTCTCTCTCTCTCTCTCTCTCTCTCTCTCTTAGTCAGTCAGTCAGTCAGTCAGTCAGTCACTCACTCAGTCAGTCACTCAGTCAGTCAGTCAGTCTGTCTGTCTGTCTGTCTGTCCGTCGGTCTGTCTCTGTCTGACACTCTTCCATCCATCCATCCGTCCAGCCATCCACCCACCCATCCATCCAGCTAGCAATCCATCGACCTACCTGCAAGCGGCACAGAGTCCCTGAAAGAGTTGAAGTTTAAGACTTAGGAGGCACCCTTTTTAAGTTTATCCGCCCTTCCAACAACCCAACGCCCCTAGACTGGATTCTTCTAAGCGTTGCTTTGATCCAGCCACCTCTCTCCCCAACATCCACGTCTACTCTCTGACTTTCTCGCCGACACAGAGTTCACAGGCGCCCATTTTTAGTTATCATCCCTTCCCCCTTCCAACAACTGCAAAAAGGGGTGCCCCTAGAACAGATTGTCCATTCTCAAGCATCGCTTATAACCAGTCACCTACTAACCTACCACCCACCTACATAGCCACTCGTGACTGATCCACAAATTTCCTCCCCTTTCATCCATCCATCCACCCACCAAGCCAACAATCTACCTAGAATCGCACTCGGCGCGCAAACGATGCAAACCAAATCATCGACATCACGAAGACTCCAACATCGACACTTTTTCGACACTGCCCGCCCGTTGCCACATTTAGCCCAAAGAAGTCAACCCTAAACCACGCACAAACAAGCCCTAAAGAAGCCAAGCCCTAAACAAAGCCCAAACAAGCCCTAAAGAAGTGAAGCCCTAAACCAGATATAGCAAGCCTGCGAAGTCGAAACGCACTTCGAAGATCTCGAGAGGCATGCGTGAATAGCAGCGAGTTAGCCGGACACGCCAATGGAACACCTCGATCAAACACCGAGCCTTAACGATTACCGTAAGCCCCTATAGTGTCACCGACTGTCCACCCAATCGCAACCCCTACAAACGCTAAGCCCTGTTGCTAGTACCTGATACCTGGTCGCTGATTCGGAACCACTGCTACCTGCTACC